ACAAAAATCCTTTTTGTTGCCAAATAAATTTTCCTCAAACATTTTCCCCTCTCCGGCTATAATTTCATCAGATTGTAGAGAATGTGTTGATGGATATATAAAATTAATAATTGGAAGGACCATGTAATACCCATTATTTATTCATCAGTCAGGGAAAAATGCTTGACTAGGTAAGTAATAAAGTATAGAATAGGCAAAATGATTGTTCAATTTTTTTTTCAAAATATATCAAGTGAAAATTATTTCAACATCTATAGAGCTGAGAGCTGCTCCAAATGGTGAAATTTTGAGAACAAGTATGATTAAAAATGTATGATATGAGATTGTGAAGGATTGTAAAACAACAGTCAAAGTCGAAGAGTCAAGTAAAAAACAAGTGCTGGTCAGTGAAAATGAAAGGGTATGGTTGGGTGTTATATGTATACAGATGTCCGGTTGATTGATACAAGGTGAGAGAGATCTCCTGGATTCATGTTTTAGCTTCACTAGATACAGTTTTTTTGTTTGTTTGTAGAGTCAATGATACACAATGGTGATGTCTTTTGAGTTTATTATGCAATCCTTAAGGTTACGAAAATTTGAGGGCTTCATAATGAATCTGTGCGGGGTATTATATTTTGCAAGATTTGATATCGGAGGGCGATTGGGTGGGATGCAAACTTCCGCTGTTGAGAGGGTCGTTTACGACGGCAGAGGTGGAGGAGGAGACTGACTTCTTCGCATTAACCATGGGTCCAAAACCATTAATGTATCGCTGGATAGCCTCAGGGGAGGCCGCATTCCGTCGTGTGGTTTCCAATTGAGTATTGACGAATTTCCTCTTCCTAGAAATACGGACCAGGGTGGACTGGTGGAAGTCTGGTCTATGTATGTCATCCGGGCCCTTACTGGAGAGGGCGGGCGAATGGAATTGACGAATGTAGTGGTTGTTTCGTCGACCAAGCCCACAGGACGGCGTTGGCTCTTTTTCCGTTTGCTGTGCCGAGGGGTTTTTTGACATTGGACGGTTGATGGAGTCTCGGGGTCATTGGTATTTGAACGAGGATTTCGATCTTTTCTCCGCCACAATACGAATGAGATTGCCAGGCAAAGAACCGTCACGAAAGCGCCAACAAAGACAATTGCGGCGATCGCTCGAGGGCTCAACCGAGTGAAAGGGTCTGTGTGCTGCGTTACTGGAGCCGAAGGTGCGTTTTGTTTGGTAAATATGGAGCTTAGGGCGGATGCTGAGGCTGCCGGAGAGCTTGAGGTTTGGGTTTGCGGAGGAATGCTGGCAGTTGAAGAGCTTGTCTGCCGAGCTGAAATGGTCCCAGCGCTCGTACTTCTGGGCAGCCCGGTGGCTGGGAGAGTACTGTTGGTGACAGATTGAGTCGCCATCCAATTGAGGTTGAGCCGAAATTATCCCGCCTCGTTCCTCCTTGATGTGGTCTATCGCGACAAAACACTTATTTGTAAGATAATCAAGTAAACAATGTTGTAGAAAGAGGGTATAGGTATGAAAATTTAGCCGCCGCAGGCAGAAAAATCTTGAAAAAGCACCTTGGTCAGAAAGTTTGATGCACCGGGAATAGTCATGAATGTCGCCAAGGATGCTCGTGGATGTTGAAATAGAGGACTTTTGTGGGTGTCCAGAAACTAGAAACGAACGTGAATCGAAACCTGTGTGTGGGTATACGGTTGAGTGCAAGCGAGTGTGGGAAGTGTTGTCGAGTGGGCTTTGTCTTGAAAAGATGTGGATAGGGACGAATAAAACCGATGAGATGTTGAGCCTGGGTACAGTTACCCTGGGGGGGTTCAATCAGGCAAAGTCTGTGAGATGCACTGCTTTTTACATACAATAGCTATCGGTCATATGGCATGGATGTTAGTAGCTATGTATCAGTAACTTGAAGCAGAAGATGTATCAATCTAGCCTGTGACCTGGCTGCTTTGTATCTTAGATCGATCATTTATGAGTCACCTGATCATCCGCGGCGGGAATGTTATGGAGGAAGTGTTCAAATGGCGATGCAAGAGCTGGTCAGGCATGCCTCAGACAGATTCATTTCGGACTGGATTTCGGCCAAGGGTACAGCTACATAACCAGATTGAAGATTTGGGCGCCCTCAGACCCAGTTCACTTCAAGCTTCATCCCAAGTAACGAAATGTACGTTTTTTAGGCCTGCGTCATCCCGGCCAACCTTTGACTTAATAAGACTGGACCAAGGTCAGCCGCACTTCAGCTGGTCCCAAAGGCATCAGTCGCAGTCGTTTTCATTTTACTGCCTCCCGGAATCCGGCCAGCTTATATGATGCAAACGCGGGAGCAGACGACCAAGTCCAGCAAAAACTGCGGTCTGTCACATCCCTAGTGCTCAAGATTTTGATGCTCTTTTCTTGCTGTAACTGGGGGGACATCTTTTCTCTTGATTGTCCAGTGCGATGCCCACGATTTCTGCTTATCTCTTACATACCGATAACCTTCATGCAAAATGATAAAGTGAGTCTTCACAGTTTGACAAAGTAGTTCCAAGTTGCAAAAGGATCTCCACGCAGGCGCCGGTCTAAATTGAAAAAGGCGTCCTTCAAGTAGATGGTTTTGTCATGAGTGTCGATGCGAGGCGCCTGCATCTGGCAAGTGAAAGCGGCAGCCACGATGCAATGCAAATCGATAGGAAAAGGAAAGCTTCGAAGCCGCCTGTTCTATACTTGTTTCCAACTTTCCTATCTCTTCTCAACTCGTCATGTCCAGCTACACTGGAGGCCTCAGTGATAGAGAAGACCAGAGGACATGAGTTGTCACGATTGAATAATGCACTATCAGTGCAAGTTGGCAAAAGTGCTTCTGCAGCACAGAGTCGCTGTGGTTCTCCTCACGAGTCGTTTGACCCGTCCACGATGCATTCCGTGCTTCTCAGCTTGAAAAATTGCTCCCTCGTCCACGCGTCGGGCAAGAGGCACCACGCCAGACCTGTCTTAGTTCGCGAGGTCCTTTTTATATATTTATGTACTCCCTCCATTAGGCTTACAGGCGGGTATTGGGGGCACCCCTGCGGGACGACTTATCTGCAGAAGAGGCATGTCACCCTGACTGTGACCGTGACCAGTAAGAAGTACTTGATTTGTCTGGATCATGCCAACAAGCAGTAAAAAAATATCCTGGTGGATTCTTACAAAGCTCAACAACTGTTAAGTTTTTACAAAGTCAAGATGCAGCCCAACACATCCCCCTTGAGGTGTTGCAAAATCCTTGATGGGCACACAGGATGCCCGTGCAAAATCTGAACGGCAACACGATGATGAAGCTGGAATCTCCCGGGGTATCATCTGGCTCAGCTGATCCTCCGGTACGGGGGGAGCCCGACGGGTACCCGCGTGTAAAGGGAGTTCATTGGTTCGGGCTGTGCCTGACTGGAGAAGCTTGTCTCGCTGAAGCCATACCATTCACTAAACAAATTTCAACCAACGCCCACCCTCTCCTCTCATCAAGCTTCACAAGATGGCTGCACCATCATGCTCGACGACCACCCATGCTCCTCAGACCAGCAATTCCGTCCCTAGCAGTAAGCAATCCAAGTACTTCGCGGAAATATCTCAAATGGTACATGCTCCTATCTTCCCTGAAGTAGAGCTATCCTGCTTCAACTGATATACTGCCTCTTCTTTCTGTTTCTGTCCTTCTGTTTAAATTCGTAGCTGTTCGTGTTTGGAGAGGTCAAAAATCCAGACGAGCAAACTGTAAGATATATCGAAGATGTTGTTCGATGTCAGGTCGCTGAATTGGTATGTGCAGAATTTCAGCTTTCGATTTAAATTTGAGGTTCGTCCAATTAACGCTTAAGTCCACAAAAATATTAGGTCGTTCAAGCGCGTGGACTAGCTCAGAAACGTGGACTGAGAATCCCAACCACCGAAGATTTGATATTCTTGATTCGACATGATCGAGCGAAAGTGAACCGATTGAGGACGTATTTAGGATGGAAAGACGTCCGCAAGAAAGCGAGAGAAGATGGAGTAGATGAGAAGGACATCGAGTCATTCGAGCCCGATCCAAACGGGGCTTCCAGTCGCTTGAAATCCCAAAAGTTGAAGCTCAAGATCCCGTGGGAATTGAGCTCGATTTATAATGACGTGTTGATAGGAAATGAAGAAAACGATGATGAAGAGGAAGATCAAGATGATAAAGAAGCCTATGAAGCTTCTGAAAAACGGTTGAGAGTTAAGCAGTTACTCTCCTTACAAAGCTACATTTGACCTATTGGCCGTGCAGACAACTTGTCAGTGTTCACTAACATAGCTTGAAATCAAATTACAGGAAGCAGATGAAATCACTAGGCACATGACGCGAGAGGAATACCAGCACTACTCGGATTGTCGACAAGCATCATTTACCTATCGGAAGGGTTTGTTTGTATTTCACCTTCCTCAGTCGATCAGTTTTTTTTTTTTCTTGAAAGTAATTTATTGATAACTACATCTAGCCAAACGATTTCGAGAATTCGTTGGACTTTCCAACTACATCGAAGGTAATCCGAAGGATGAAGTGGTTGATGTACTTGGATTTTTATCCTATGAGATGGTCCGGGTCCTATGTGAAAAGGGACTTGCGGTCAAACGGGATTATGAACTGGCGCGGATCGCACAGGGCGACGATGGGGGAGTCCGAAATGAAGACGCTCACAGCAGTAGTCCTAACAAGCGGAAAAGACGATCGAACGGTACTGACAACTCGGATGAACACTATGATGGATCCGAAGCCTGGAAACGGCCCAAGCCGATCGGCCCTTTCTCCGAACCGATCAGCGGCCCTTCAAAGCAGTCTCAAAACGCGCCCAATCTCACTAAATCGTTCACAGATGATCCATTCGAAGTGATCGAAGATCCTACCACAAAATCTCAAATCGATAAACCTCAGGAGTCTGGAAAAGAAGTCGAAGGATCCAGTACAGCCAGGAAAACAGACCCACAACCCCCAGCAGTCTCGGTTGATAACAGAACTCCGTTGAAAGTGGCTGATGTTGAAAATGCTTACTCGTTGATGCAGTCCGGAAGAGTCAAGGCTAAGATGACGGCACTGAGGAACTTCACTGGCGCCTTTGTTAGGACCAAAGTCAGCTTGATTTGAAACAAAACCACGCGTTCTATCGTATCTATCAGAACTACATTCCCTCGGTTTCAGTTTTTGTCGTCATCCTCTACGCTTCCTCAAATTACTTTCGTGCAAATATATTCTCTGTTGTACTAGTGCCCTATGGGCAATTGGGTATGTATTTTTTCAATCCAGTAAGCACATGTGTTGTAGAAATTTCACATATAACAATTCTTCACAAGCTATCGCGGGAATCAGCCTTGGGTTGATCAGTTTCAAAGCCTCTTGTATCGGATCAAGATTCGCGACTTATATATACAGTGTGGACAACAATGCCAATCATTTGGGCCAAAAAAAAGAATGATATCCTGCATGATTATAAATTTGACTGAGCTAAGATGGCAAATACCTTGCATCAACTCTTCATATCATATGTTTTCTTCCATGGCTCGAATCAGCAATCATGGACATCATTTTTATCTTGGCAATTCTCAACTTGCAGTATATAAGTTGCTGGTTTTCATCCGAAAGAACTGAGCTCGAAAAACAAAGCTCATAACATCCCCTAGATCGTATGTCTATACACTATTGATGAAGCCTGTCAAGTTATCTTACCACAACATGGGCACCTCGAATTGAGTCAAAAACCACGTGGGATGCAGTGGTTTGTCTATACCCCTCACTTGCTTAGGATAGCACAATTGATTTCTTTTTTTTTTCTTTTTTTTTTTTCAAAAAGCTGATGATGAAAGATTGAAGCTTAGCTAAATCCATTAGAATACAGCAAATCTGGCTTGCCTAATATTCACACCTTATTCAAGAATGAGTTTGATCATCAAACAAGTCAATAAGACTGGCTTCATCTGAGATTTCTCTTCTTCACAGACTTGTCAGGATCGAACTGCGACTGTTGTTTTGTCGATGTTTGATTTCGCTGTGCACGAAGAAGTCGCGTATAATTTTGTCAATGAATACACATATACGAGGACTTGGTTTTATGTTGTGGATTAAAGGTCGACTACATAATCGGGTACAAAAACAGAACCAAAGTGAAATTCAAGCAAGCAAGCTACAAAAATTTGGTGTGGAAACAAATCTCAAAAAACGATCATTCAGAATGTACTTGCACTCTTTGGGTTTTTTATATATAAATAGATCAAGACGAGAAGAAGAAAAACTTGAGGTGTATACATACAACTATCAGATGTACTTATTGGACATTGGATGGGGGTGTGAGGATGTGGATATGATGATGATGGATGCAAGAAAATTTGACAGGACAAGAGTATAATGTGTTAAAAAATCAAGCAACCAAAAAAAAAAAAAAAAAAAAACGATGATAGAGGTGCGAAGAAAGACGGGGTTCGAATGGTTCGGTTTGTGATATATAACTATATGTATGATAACGGGGACGATTTCAGTTTGAAGATTTGAGTCTTTTATTAGTGGCTTTGGCGCGAGCATCGACGGATCCACCATCGCCATCGCGGTTGTTATCATCGCTTGTGGCCGGGTCGCCGGATTCGGAAGGTGCCCGTCGTTTTCGGGATTCTAGCTTCGGCACGACGACCGTCAGGATCTCCTTCAACAAGATCGAATCGTCTATCGATGAGATGTCTCCATTGTACCTGTCAACCAAGACCTTCATTTATCGAGATTTTTTTGTCCCGAGGAAAGTGAATTATAAGAAAGCAGATCAGATCAGTCATTCATCATTTCCCGTTTATATTTCTCTTCTTGGGGTTCTTCGAGGGTAGAAAAGACTAGTTTTTTTCAAATGTTCTGAAGGGCACGCACTCTAACTCTCGGTAAGACTTTGGTTTGGAAGAGAGCAGTTTGCTGCCATCTACGATAGTAAGGATCGGTGACTTTATTGAAGTCCAGGATAGCCCTCATCCTAGGAATCGAGACCTCTTCGGGATCGAAGTCTTTGGCCATCCAAATCTTGGGCGAGAGTAGCGGGACCGGGGTCGGGGGAGGTCTTGGTCTGGGTTGGGGCTTTGCTTTAGGTGGCATTGTCTTTGGGCTTTAATCTTTCTTGCGGGGTTTTTGTTCACTCGGGCTTTGGTGAGATGAGTGTGGGTTTAAGTCAGGCGGAAGTGGTGAGGTGTGGAAGAAAGAGACGAAGGGTTGAAGTATGTATGTACTAAATAAATAAATACCTTTAAGGGTGGCTGAGGCAGTCAGGGGCGCTTGGAAGTTGGATCTGGAAAGTTTGAAGGAGCTCAGTCGGATTTGGGAGCAACCAAAGCAGCCTATTTATGTATGTAAATCTGTGGTGGTGTTCGCAACAACAGACGATTGTTTATGCGGTAAGGTGAAGGTGTTTATAATAATGTTGGTTAGTGGTAGAAGCTAACGAAGCGATCTGGATGGAAGTGCCATTTCCGAAAACCGGCTGGCCAGACTCAGTCCCGACTGAGAACTCCATGGCGCAGCAGCGTCCAACAAGATGGAACCACTGACCTGTATTGTAATATAGGCTTGTTGACCGTTCCGCGGAAAGCTACATAAAGCGAGGTGAGACTCAACTCAGTCGACGCATATAGCCAAGTTCGAAAACCGATATATCTGTGGGAGTGGTGCAACGATGCAGATCACTTTGAGGAGCCAATTGGAGACTGAAGAGAAGCTCTAGTGAGGAGTCGTTATACAACAAAGGCTCTTTGTTATAAATCGATGCCTCCGTAGAAGTTAACTTCAACGAGCTTCCACTATCACCCCACCTCAACTTTGCCCCGATTTCAGGCTTCGGCTGAGGCTGCTGAATCCGACCCGATCGACAGCCGGAGTTGGTAGACAAAAACTCATCAAGACGCTGCATGGTAATTTGTAGAAGTGTGAATTTCAGAATTCGAAGCGGAACAATCAAAGCCTTCCACGGATCCTCTAGCTCTCTAACAATTCGTGCGCGTAGATAACTCGATGACGAATCGCGGTGTCGCGATCCCGGGACCAGATGGGCCCTGGGGAGGACCGAGGAAGAAGAAGAAGCAGTATGAACCGACCGCCGAGTGCGCATACATGCGTGACTCATCAAGCTCTACCGACGTTGATGTCTTCATCCGGTTACAGCCAGCATTTTATTCCACACTGAGAGTCGCGTGATGGTCATGAACATTTACTTCAAGTGGCCAGTTGGCGGCAACAGATCATGAAGAGCAGCGAGTGCAACTTATGCATCATAACTGCCGCAAACATGGCCGTGCAGAGCGTTGCAACGTATGTATCTCTTCGCGGAAAGATCTTGTCGTATGGTTGTGCAGACACCTGCAAAGAACCGGCTCAAGATTCTTTCATGAACCCTTGCAAAAAATCATCAATGGAGCACTCTGGCCGTCGAGCAACTTGGTGGCCTCATCTGATTAACTACTCTTTGTTTAGATTCACACATGATCATGAGTACCCCGGCTACCATCACCTTTCACCCAAAAATTCGAGATCACTGGACATCATGACCTATGAATAGCATTTTTTCCCCTCGCAGAGTATCATCTACATATATTGACCTAGAATTTGTGAATATGTTGTACATCTCAATTTTTTCCATCAAGTTGTTGACCATGTTTATGTCATTGGTTGTGTGGTCGTATGTGGAGCACTCAAGAACAAGTGAACCAGTCCGCGTTTGGCAGGCAAAAAGAAAAAGGCTGGTCTTCCAGGGCGTAGCTGAGCCGTCAAGGCAGAATGAAATTTGGCGTGCCCCCTCAAGAGTCAACAGTAGGGTGGACACGAAGCTTGCATGATAAGATGAATGGTCTCAGATTTAGGTAAAATTGCTGATTTTTGGTTACCCACCTTGATAGGAAGCCTCGCTCCAAGTCAAACGTCGGCATTGATGAAACTGAGATGGCATTGGATTGGTCGTGCCCTGCCTCGGGCTCACAGGGAACGGCTCAATGACTGGGTGTTCATCAACAGTTAGAACAAGGACGACCGGCACAGTTTTGCCTAGTACATTAACCGACTTGAATAATTTTGGGAAAACATCACACTCCCTGCGACCGTTCCTGACTATTCATACCGTCAGGCCCGGTGAGCGAGTTCGGTCGCTTGGAATGGGGTTTGGACGACAGTGAGTGAGTGGTTGGGAGTCTGGAAACGGGGGAACTGCTCAGGGTAACATGGCAATCAAACGTTGCTCTTTCAAGCTCCTACTGCTGTTCCTGCCTTGTATAGGGTAGACCAGCTGTATGATGGATGTCAGGCCTCAAGAAACGTGTCAAATGCGGCATTCAAGGTATAGTTTTCATTTTGGGGAAAAATGGTTGTTACCATCATTTTCTACATGTCTTAAAGTGTGGGAAATAAATTTAAAATGTCAAAAAATGATGAGAATTAAGCTGTAAAAAATTAAGTGAAAAAATGGGTCTAATTTCAGTATTAAAAATGAACCGTTGGGTTTTAAAAAAATTCGATTGCACCATTAAATTCTACACACATTGAAACCTAGGAAATAATTTTAAAATTTCACAAAAGCATAAAAAATAAGGTACATACATGCATGCAAACAATTAATTGAAAATTAAGTGGAAAAAAAAATTAATAATCAAAATTCATTTTTATGGAAAATGGACTTTACCATTAAATTCTACACCTTTCATAGTGTAGGAATAAATTTTAAAATTTTGAAAAAACTCGAAAAATAAGCCGTAAAAAATTAATTAAAAAACCGCGTCTAAAAGCGGAAACCGCGTGTGCTGCGGCGCATCAAAACCGCGTCAAAACGCGGAAAAACCGCGTTTTTTTATTAAGGCCCTTTTATTTTTTATTTTTCATAAATTTTGAAACTTTATTTTTTGTTTTTATTTTTTCATATTGATTCTTTGGGACCTATTCTGCACCAATTCACCAAGTCTTGTGACTTGGAATTTGTGCTTTGAAGCTGTAGAACCCAAAACAAGCAGCCAAAAATAATGGTCCACCCACTGTACATAGCTGAAATCCATAAAGAGATGACTTTTTTACTACCTGTACCCAGTTTTCTTGTCCTTGTCACATGAACTTTTCAACATATCAGTCAAAACACATTTTTAACTTGTACTAAAGAACTTTTGCTTCAATCAAAACATTCATTTCTGGATAAATTTGATATCCTGAATGGAAACATACATGCTATAAATTATATGGAACATGTATAGAGCATAATGAGGCTTAGATGTAACTTTACACTGATGAATAAAAAGCAAGAGGGCTGGGAAAAGCTGTCCCCCTCAGGATATAACAGGTAAAATGATTCAAAAAGTGCATCATCAAGAGGGAAAAGGTTGTGGAACATTTACACAACAACTGATGCACTGCAAGAAAGACTTGATTGATTAGTGGCAGTTAAAATGATACATTAAATATATCAACTGAAAGAAGATTACATAATATTACTTGAGTGAATGATTTCAGTGAAGGAAAGTGTAGAGGTATGGATATTCAAAAGTGAGAAAATACAGTCTTTACAGAGGCAAATTACCAAGAGTTTTAGTCTCCTTGACTGGGTTACACAGGAAGGAATTTTCTTTTATCTACAATCCACTTTTTTACACTGTGTTAATGTTGAATATGTTGAATTGAAACAGACACATATTGAAGACATCTTATCAAAATTAGGTGGCAAACAATTCCCACTACATCTGTATTTGGTTTCCAATATCTTTGGTGGAAAATATGGAAGACTAGCCCAGTTCCAACCAGGACAAATTTTTTGTGGGCTGATTCTGGAAAGCTTGATGGGCTGGGAAATATGAAGCAAAATGAAGCAAATTCCATTTAACTTTAAGTTTCTAATTCAATTGCTCTCAAAGCCATTTTGATATGTCTATCCCACTTACAGAAGTATCACAGACTATTCAAGCCTTTGAGAAAAACAATAACCTTTAGACAAGAAAAATTACACAAATAGAAATGAATAGTTTCACTTCAATAAGAATTTCCAGGGTAAGTGGTAATGTTCCTTATCTAAAAGACTAACACAGGCTACTTCCTTAGAGAAACTCAACAGTGGAGTGTATACTGCAAATTTAAACCTCATTCACAATCTGGGATCCAAAACCCAAGCCCCACTGAAGGCTGCATTATGAGAACTGGGAGCTGAATTGATCCAGGATTCCAGGATGTAAAGATTCCCCAAGCAAGTGTTGATCTGTCTCCTCTTTGCATTCTTGTACATCTTGTGAACCAGCTTTTTTGTGTTCAATCCAAACTTTGATAAATTACCCGCCCAACTGATGCTATCAGATGTTTTGAGTTGAAGAAACACAGGCCTGTCACAGGGACAGTTAAGTTTAGAAAGGTATGATCACTCACCTTCTGTCTCTCATTGCATCACCATCAGTCACACATTTCTCTTCAGCTCAGCTGGCTTGCTTCTTTTTCCATCTCTCAGTAGATCACTACACTATCCTGGTATCACATAAGACACACATATCACACACCTTTACCCTACCATCATCAGGTCCAGGCCACACAGTGTTTTAAATTTGAGGACAAAAAACTTTGGATGGATCACATAAGTATTACACTTCACTTGCATTTTGCACTCTGCAGGGGAGTTGATGTTGGAAATTCATGTGATCCTTGTGTGACAATATCTTCTCAAACTACTTTGCTCACAAGACAGACTACTTGTGATTAATAAAAACCTAATCTCATTGAATTTGCACTCAACTCTATGATCTCTCTCATTTGATTCTCCCCTTTCCAAGAACCTCTCTCCATTGAGGATTTCTGAACACATTGCTCCACCCCTGTCACTTTGATCATAGACCTCTTTCTCTTTTTCAACTCATCTTTCTCAAATTCTCTCAATCAGCCCCCAGCACACTCAATCCTAATTTAACCTTTGTTAAAAAACCTCATGAAGTGGTTATAGGGGGGTATGCAGAACGTTTTGAGCACTAAGAACAAGTGAACAAACAAGTATACCTTTGCCAGGCAACAAAAGGCTTGTTTTCCAGCCCGGCCGCAGAACTGTCAGGGGTATTATAGTCAACAGTAGGGTGGACAGGAAATGTATGAATTAAGAAGACTTATAAATTTAGGCGAAATTCCCGAGTTGTGCCGTGGTTTCCCACCTCTTCAGGAGGTTTGCAGCCTCGGTACCTTTACAACGTTGGCAATGAGACATAAAACTGAGATGGGGATGTATTGGTTTGGTCGTACCCTGTGTCAGGCTCACTGGGAACGGCTGATCAATGACTTGGTGTTCATTAATCACAGCTCAAAGAAAGGGCGATCGACACAGCTTTGGCAACATTAAAAATTTGACGGTACACCGACGCGAATTGATTTGGCAGACATCACCATCCCTGCAACTGTTCCTGATCGTCATACCGTCAAGCTCAGTGAGCGAGTTCGGTCTCTTGGAATGGAGTTCGAACAATAGAGAGTGAGTCCGGTAGCTTAGCTGGCAGTCTGGAAACGGGGGCATCGCTCGAGTACGTAGCATGGCAATCAGTTGTTGCTCTATGGAGCTTCTGCTGCTTTTTCTGCCTTGGTTAGCATCCACCAGCTCTGTTCTAGATGTTGTGTACCTATGATATGAAAAGGTATAAAAGAAGCACTGATGGTGCCACTGCAAGCATCCACACCAATCTGATATCCTAATCATCTAGTGCTCATACAGAACAGATGTTATTATTTCACCATATAGTCACTCATATTTGTTTCACTTCAAGTTCAGCACAACCCTGTAAAATACAACTCCAGATGAAATTCTTCTCAGTTTTCATAACAATCATGCTTGGGGGCCTCACAATCCAAGCTCTTGAAACATCAAACAAGGATCCGGCATATGCATCTTCTAAATTCAAATGCAAAGATAAGTCCAAAACCCAGCCTGTGTGTCTTGGACTAGTAGGAAAAAAGACAAAAGACAGGAACACATATTATTGTAAGCCAATCTATGGGCAAATTTTTCGTCCCCATGATGGAATCTCTGTTGGAATCCCAGAAGTGTTGACTGATTCTTATGTTGATCATGATTTCTAGTACACTCTGCAAACAGGGTCCCCCTCTAACTTAACTAAGTCCCTCTTTATTTGGAGGGGGGACGCCGTCCCGCAGGGACCCTCCAAAGGAGGGACTTATGTGCTAAGTCACCCTCCTTGCCCATGAGGATTAGGAAAAAGTGGCTTTTTTTTGCAAGCTCACTACAAGGCCGCTCACTCGCACGTCACCCCACAAGCCGCGTGCCAAAATGAGCGGCAAATGCTGGAGAATCACACAGTGGCCTCCATGATGGAGGGAGGCCACTAGCTGTTTGGGCAGCTGGGCTTTTGTTAATGGCATCAGGAACCTGGGTTTTCAGGCTCATTCTGTATGACCCTCCACATCTTTGAAACGATGGGAGGTGCATAAAATACAGTCGCCATATCAGTTGATTATGCCATAAGAACACCTGTGTATCCGTTGTTACAGTGCCCCTGCATGGAAGATTGTGGACAGCCTGGTGAACGCTTAACACATAATCTGGATGGGTTGGCTCTCACCTGGCCGCTTGGAAGCTCAACCTTCAGGGATGAAGGGGAGTTGATGAGACGGATGGATGCGCATTGGCGAGGCCATCACAAAAATCGAAAGAAGCGCAAAAAACATCCAGAAACAGACGGGCTTGGTGGGTTTTAAAATATTGCCCAGCAAAATCCCTAATGCTCATGGGCCACGGGGTGGACATAGCCTGTAAGTCCCTCCGGCAAGCCATTGGATGAAACTGCCGGAGGTACTTAGCTAAGTTAGGGTCCCCCTGGATTCTTTCAGTTGTAATGAGCTTAGGGAGAGATTCCGTGGGGGATTTCACAACACGTGTTGTTCTAAAGATTTAGATCTTTCAAAATTCAAACAGACTCCAGTAGGTTGATTCTTACTTTTTTAATCAATCTGTGTCCTCTTTAATAATCAAAGCTGATCAAATGTAATAAAAACAATGTTCAATTTCCTTTAGCCCCAAACTGAGAATAGAATTACATTTGCACAAATCGATCCAAAAACGTTTAATGATTCCTGTCAAGATTTGACTCCAAGTTGAGGTACATACCCAAGATGAGAGATGCATTGCTGTTTAGGATTCTTCTTCTTGACTGTCAATATTGAATCCTGCAAAGATTAAGTGTACACTCTTTTTCCTCTTATTTTTTTGAAACCTTATCTGAAGGCTGAAGTACAAAGTCAAAATTCTAAGAAGAATCACATCTCTACTAGCTGCATGTGTACATACATATTTACAATTAGGATCTGTTTGGCAGTCCATGTTATCATAAAATATCATAGGAAAATCCTGCAAATTGTTTTGGGGGACCACATTTATTATCCTAAGTGAAAATAGTGTTTGGCTGGTCACACTATAACACCAAAAATCCACTGTAATAAGCAGCGGATTTTCTAGCTTTGTGATAATTGGTTTGTTTATCAACCATATTCTGATTATACGGATTTACATATTTTTACTTATGATATAATGGACTGCCAAATGGAGCCTTAATTCCCCCATAGTGTGAATGAACAATCTTAAGGAATGTATTTCTCAAGTAAGCATAATGATCTTGAACAAGAAATACATGAGAAATAAGAAGAGCGAAATGATGCCTAACCTTAAGGCAAACAACACTGAAGCAATGAAGAAGAAACAACAAGGAAAAGAAACAATGGAAAGAAAAGATCCTTTTTATAGATGATGAATGAAAAGGATAAACTGGTTAATTGTCTAGATTCTTTTAACACGAGGAAGAAAGAAATCAGATGAGCGCGATAACCTACGAGGATGAAATTGGACCAGACGAGTGAATAAGATCGGTGAATTTGTCGAGATAGAAGGGAAGCACTGGTCAGGTCGGCGGAGTGTCGATATAGAAGTGGATGTGCTGAAGTGAGGACAAGATGATCCTTGACTTATGAAGAAAGTGAGAAACGACGGTGAGTTACGTCAGACGGAGGAACAGGATAATCAATAGAGTTTTTAGAGATTATAGATAGTAATGTTCAAGTTAGGTTGTAGATGACAACCAAGAAAGTTCCCCAGCCGGAAAGAGAAGGAGGGAGGAAAGAGCCATGTTTTATATGCTTGAGGATCCGAGTGAGAAAGAGGTTGCTTGTGAGTTTTGACAAGGTCCGTGCCAGATGACATCACATGATCATGATGTCATGTGGTCGAGCAAGAGGTTTATGGGTCGAGCGAGAGAGTTATGAGGTTAGAGGGATTGTGAGCAAGAGCGCAGTAGCGTTCAGACTTCAACACATATTGTCTTTTCCAAGAAACTTGGAACTTTTTGAAAAAAAATTGTGTTGGCAGATTGCATAATTTTAGAAAATCCGGATTTTCTGAAATCAAGGACCCTGAAAATCTTGGGCACACCGCCTGTGACCAATGCAAACAAGCTTTTCTACCTCGTGATGTGTCAAACACTGATCACTGGTGTCATCATCCTCTGATGCCATGGGTCGGGCGTGCTCAACCCACGGGTGTGGACCATTCTCCCTCCAATCATTGCCGCGTCCAACCGCCACCACCACCATCAATCATCCTCAACGTGTTTCATCCATCCCGGTCGATCAATCATTTCGGACTGTCCCTGGGGCTTCTGCTTTTTAATTCCCGTTGCACTCCTGTGACAAATGTCTGGCTACAGCAATACCACCGATTCCTATGACCATGATGGGTCTTTTCATTCATATCGATCAGGGTCTCCGCTCGCTCATGGCTTTCCAAATGCTGCCCAACTCCCACCGGCTTCCCAATTGTACACTCACTCAATGCCTCCGACTCGACGTTTGAGTGAGTATCCTCCACCCGCATCCCAGGCGCCTTCGGTGTTTTGCAACTGGCCGGCCAATCCGCAGGCTCCCAACGGACCGGCTGTTTCAACCCCCACGGCCTGGAATGACAGCTCTCCCGATCAAGATCAGCCCCGCCTTTCGCTGGCTCACCACCACGGTCCCACTTTGCCCCATCAAGTTTTGCCGGTCGAGAAGGGGCAGCAGTTACCCACCTTAGGGCTAGTTTCATCCGGTCGACCACCGTTACCACGTTCGCGCATGTTCCAGTGCGATATCACTTTTCTGATCTACTGTGCTAAAAAGAATAAGCAGAAGAAGACCGTTTGGACATCCCTCAAGTCGGACGTCGACATGTCGATCTCATTTGACTGCCAGACAATAAACTTGAACCAATTCCAACATCTTGTGTCAACCAAATGCACCGGCCCTTACCCAAAGTTACCGGAATTGCTTGAGCATTGTACACACTCGTCTCCACCTTCCATCCGCTGGGTTGGGTACATGGGCCGAAACCCCAATTGGCTCAAGACAGGATCCCAATCGGTTGTGGATCCCCCTACCTTTTTGGCCTGGATACAAGAAATCATTAAGTCGGGGGTGAAGAAGGGAGGCGTGTACCTCAAGATGGCCAACCCCAGTGACGGAAATAAACTTGCCGCAAGCAACGATTCGATTGCGGCGACTGTGCGACGTCATGAGGCCCAAGTGGCCACGGCCAGGGCGGCGTTTGGAACTCAACCGCTTCCGTCAGGGTCTGCAGCTCCGTCCGAGTCCCAGGCCATTGGGCAGGGCCTCTTTGATTTGAATGAGGACGCGGTATGTCTTATTCCTCCAAGTGATGCATTGGAAAATTACATATTTCTGACCCGGTGTAATTGTTGGTTGCCATCTTAGGAGGACTCTTGTGACGAGTCGTTTGATGCGCGGAAGATCATTGAAGAGGAGATTTTCAAGAAGTACGTCGGGAACGTTGGTGTGGACGTTAACCATACGGTATACCCTCACCCAACGGATATCAATCGTTATATCATCCTGACCTCTGGGAATGTGGCCTCTTGGGCCAGAGCTATTGTGTCAGCCTGCTATGAATCAGAGCCAGCCTGAACAAAGCATTTTACATATAAATTAGAGATATTATTACTTATATATGTACATACATTTAAAATAATAAAAATATACTATTTAAATAAGTGGAAGCACTATAATAGAGACATTATTACATAGTACAATTACATTGTAATATTTTAAGAGAGAAACATTTAAATAATTAAATAAATACTGGAAAACAACATTTTTAACCAGAATCTCCTAATAACTTCTGAACCTTAAGCATAACTCAGAATATTATTGCAGATTCTGAATCTACATGCAAAATAACCTAGGGTAGCTCACCAAGTGTACCCCTGAATTATTACTCCTTCACTTACTTTGTAGTCCTTGAGTGATATTGGCACGAGCTTGGCGAGTACCTCGAATTTGCCGGCATTGCAAAAAAGGAGGAAACCTTGGGAGTGCTGGCTCGTCATGGGGTTAACTCTTATGATATGTTTCAAGATGGGTTCATGACCCCTGAGCAGTTGGGGGTCCTCGGGCTTCCGGTGGGGACTCTGGCTAAACTCTGTCGGAATGTCGCTTGATACGAACGAAGCCTGGCTTGCCCAAGAGAGTCACTTCGTCAATTCTTATCACGCGACATCAATCACTTTTAGATCAGTATCTCGCCTTATCCAAATGTCAAGTTACATAACAATCTCCCGACTCACCTCAAATGCACAGAAGAAACAACCAGCTTGTTATCTTTGTAGTGCTTGGTCCTATTTGTCTACCTCTGTCTTCCTGCCTGCCGGACCACGGTTCAAAAACTTACAAAAAACCCAAAAAAATAGTTTGATGTTTTCCTTGTCTTGTTCTGTTTTGTCTCTCTCTGCCTTTGATAAGATAAGGTGTCTCAACAGTCTTACTCTCTTCTCTGCCTCTGCCTGCCGGAAAAAGGTTTGAAAAAGAAAAACCAAAAAATAGGTTGATGTTTTCCTTGCATTGTCCTTGTCTTCTTTTCCTTGTCTTGTGATGTCTTTATTTTCTCTCGGACTCTGATATGATAAGGTGTCTCTCCAGTGGTCCTCTCCTCTCTGATTGTCTCTGATTGTCTCTGATGAGTGTGTGCCTGCTATCTGCTCAGCAATTTATTTGTTCCTTCCCGTAAAAGTGATCATCCACAGACAGAGGCTGACTTCTTGGAAGGGCTCGGAAGGGCTCAGGTGTGGGTCAAATGCCAGGGGCCTCAATATGCACCAGGACTTAAAGACTTAATGAGCGATCATATTTCAAGCGAGGTTTGGGTTTGGGTCTCATGTGCGGTTGGTGTATGAAGCCAAATGGACACAACTAACGGAGTATAATCAATAATCTGGAGCAAGGTGTTCACATGAGGGACTATAGAACAAGCAAGGAAAGGAAATCGGGGCCTAAGAGCTATAAGGGGACAGATCTCTCGGTGACATAAGCTTCTAATCGAGGAACCCCCTCACAAAGCAAACGGGCAATGCCCAAGGTGAACCCCAATTCTAACAGCTTCGCCTCAGATGTTTCCCGGAAGAAGGTCCAGTGGATGATTCCGTGGGTCCTTGAGCGACGGCGGGTGGCCTGATCCGTTGGCTTGATATGAGAGACCATCAAGTAAGTCTCCATATCTACTGCCTCCAACTGGGGGCTTTCAGGGCCCAAGGGCACTCGGAAGACACCTGAATGACTGTTTGCCGGAGGGGTTGCGGGTTGTTGAACCGCCAATGGCCCACAAATGACCTCATGAATATTGTCAGTGTCATGTGCGACCGGTGTTTTTGCCTTCTTCGCATGTTTTGCAGGGCGATCGGAAGGACCTGTCTCGCCTTCACCGACGTGGTTAGAGATGGCCATCTTGGACTCGTCCATTGCCTGGGCGGATCCATTTTCCTCAGGGACCAGGCCCCTCTTTGCTGGCAAGGCCTCGGTGAGTTGCTGTTCATTGTGCGGTGCCAGGCGGAGCTGGTCATAGTCAGTCAGTAAAAAGATCTCAACGGGGGCTGGGCTTGGGGCATGTGGATAAAATTTTAAATACCCACTTTGCTCTTGGTTGGTCGGATGCGGGGCCTCATTGGAGCGGGTGCTTTGGCAAGCCCGTCGTTTTTACTGGCCTGGTTCCCGTCGATGCTCTCCTGGATTGGAAAAATTGGGAATGGTTGGGGTTAATGTGGCGGTCTTTAAGCCTAAGTCCACAGATGATTTAAGTGCCTCACCTTAGCGCCTTTGGCAACCACATTCCCCGGCGGTTGTAACATGACAATTTTGAAGGGCACTTGGTTCGGAAACTCGTGGTAAGCTTGGTCTGCAAACTCTCGAAACTCCTGGGCCCCCGGATGACCGTCTTGTTCTTCTGACTGAACTGGACATTGCCCAAGATGAAGGCTTGCCAAAGGAGGGCCCCGTTATTGTGAGCTCCTCCCAAAAGGCGCGCCATCGGAGCCTCGTGACCAAGGTGCTGAATGGCCAGGCCTTGGAAGTGGCTCCAAGTCATAGATTGCAAGTCGACCGGCATTACCGCAAGTTCACAGGTGGGCGAGATGATCACCCAACCGTTCCCGGCATCGACCCATCTGGCATGAGGGAACTCAGGGATGTTGATGCTCTTGACATATAGGGAAAAATCTAAACAGATGGGGGCTTTGCGAGGCGGATTGTCTATTAAGGTATCCTAATCGTATTGTGTCTCAGGGAAGAGGATTTTGGAGACTGTAGGCATACTAATCTAAACTCGGATTGATTTATTTATTATGAAACTAGGGTGTTGTTGATGATCACAATAAGTGGAGAGAGACAGAAAGAAGGATCATCGCTTCCCCTTGGCCCTTCTTAACCCAACGGTTCCTCTCCTTTCTCCCCAGAGGGCCATCGAATGACTCAATCCTAGTGCCGCCTTGGGGCCCCATTTCCACACACCCATCACATGGTTGGTTGCTTGAGCGGTCATGCCAGGTGTCAGATAAGCTCCAATTGGTGCCATGGGCCGCCAGGGGACAGATGGGGCTTGCTTTCCCGCAGACCTAGACCCATGACCAACAGGCACAGGTCCGGCGGTCATATGGAACGGTCCCATGCCAGCCCAGCCCGAATGGGGCATCACAAGGGGCGGGCCAATGTCGGTCAGCTCAAATGAGCCATCCATCGCAAGCCCCCGCCACTATGGATCCGGGCAATTATTGGCCTCAGGCATAAATATTTCGTTTGTGTCTGTGAGGATCGCGAGCAATGCCTTGCTTGTCCGTCACAGACACATACCCTGCTCACTAAGTCATTGTTTGTGTGCAGTAAGCCACAAAGAGTGCACCAAATTAACTTTTGTGGTTTTCAATGAGCAAACAGAGAAAGAAAACAAGCTGGACAGTTGAGTATAAAGCATCTCGGGATCAGATTATCACATTGACAAGAATCAGAGGGGTTAAGATAACCAGACCAGTGGGCTGGGCAAAAGACTAGAGACAGGAAGTAGAGTAAGATAGAAGCAGCATCCATGAATGGATGTTTAGATCAAACAGAATCGACATAAATAGCATAGTTATCATCTGAGATTAATTTGCAGAAATAGATTGAAATTGTTGAGTATAATTTGAGCAGCATCATTCACAGAAATGATACTCAGACATGTCTGGACCGGCGGGATTATCCGTCAGTGCATGCGTAGCCAGCATGATTGAACAACTTCTGACAAAGCACAGCAGTGCCAACTCGATAGGTAGTTGATTCGATTGTCCACTGGGGGTCTGAGGACCTGACCAATGCTTGAGATCGTTGGAGATTTGACTTGACTTGAGAAAAAAGCAGCTCGATTGGGCTGAGCTCTGGACAATAGGTTGGCAGATAAACCAGTTGAACACCCGCGTTGCGACATAATCTAGCCACTCAATCGCCACCATGGATTTGTGCATTATCAACCACAAGGACCGAGTTCTTCCCAGGATATGGGTTTATGCGAGGAAGTTGGATTAAGAATGATTACCGTTCAAATGTGATTAGCGGCCCACCCGAAGCAGCTTAGAAACGGGCAACTTAAAAGAATGTATTTGAGGAAATGTGCAAAATTGGTCCCAAAGACGTTCTCCTCGGTGACCGTTAATGCGACAATCCCATCCACACTGATTGCAGGTAGGAGAGTGAACCGCTTGGTGTTTTGTTGAATGAGGGTTCTATTGGCTGGTTTTCCTTTGGAAGATCGAGAAAACGCTCGCAACAAGTCCCTCGAGCATATACATGACTTGTCTGTATCCAAAACCCAGCAATAGGTTGAAAACCAAAACAGGTTAATGAATGCGAAATAATCATCCACAGCCTCCTCAGATCAAATTATGAACATACCTGAAAAGACCAGGAATTCCGCCGGAACCGAGAGGATCTTCTCCATGTAGGCATACTTTGCCACAAGGGACTTCTTGATGTTAACCGTGTTGGCCTTCTTCAAGGTGATTTCCAAGTGTTCTACAAGGTTCCGATGGAGCGTAGTCATGATCAGAAGGGTATCAGTTTCATCGTAGAGCCGCTCTCGAATCTCGTCCAGGAATAATCCGGGTTCCATCCGAAGCAATTCGATCATAAAGCTCTGGTCGTCTGTGGTCAGCAATAGGCCAGGGCCTTTCTTTTCATATTCGGCCGTATCGCGGATGACACGTTGAGTGTTTCGATACAGTTGCACCCATCGTGCAAAAGATTGCTTGGAAATCTTTTCGCCCAGTGTTTCGCAGATGAACTTTTGGGTGTATCCTTGGGCAACCATCCGAACCACCGCAATTTTGATCCCAGGCGAGATGAGTTGATATGGCATATTGGAGGCTGGAGCGCTGATTCGTAGGTCGAAGGATTGGGTTGGAATAGACGGCCGGTTTGGGTCGAACCGGAGGGGGGAAGAAGCGTCGGGCAGGAGGGGGGGAAATGTGATTGAGGGTCTGAGTGCAAGTGTGTCCATCCAATACGTGAGGCAGGGGTGGGTGACCCGCAGTAGTCATGTGTGATGATGTGTGTGACACATTCTTTGAAAATCCTGCCTGACAGGAACACACCGAATACCATGCGGTGTGTCAGTCTGGCCTGCTTGGATAAGTCAGGATTTGCAAGCTTTCTTAATGCATACACAAAAAAATTTCTTGCAAAAGTTCCAAGCTTCTTGGAAAAGACAATAGATGTTTCACCCTGTAAATCAAAACCCAGTTTGAAGCTTACATTGCAAACCTTTGAGCCAATTTGATATTCTGAACCCAAGTTTAACTGATCAAAATGACAAGGATCATGTCTGGCTCTTCCCCTTTTTTTTCACACCAACCACACACACACCAGAAAAAAGGGGAGGACTCCAAGGATTCTTGGAGTGCCCTACCGCAACGGTGGGTCAGCTACTCTAACCGTAGTGTAGCGAAAAATCATTACAATTTAGCGTAGTGTTAGTGCTTTTTTTCATTTTCTGCGCTAACGCTACGCGCATTGGGCAAAAAATTGCGCTAACGTTTAGCGTAGCGCGTGCACAGGGCGCAAAAAACTGCCCGCTAAGCTTTGTTACAGTAATGTCTAGCAGTTCTTAGGCGTTTTTTGCCGCTAGAAACGCTGTAGCATAGCGTAACACAGCGTAGCAGCGCCAGAGGCGCGCTAACACTACACCAAAAAATGGATAGTGTTAGCGCTGCTACAAATTAGCGTAGCGCAGCGGCAGTAGCGGCGTGCTAAAACTACACAAAAAAAAGAAATTTTGGTGACGCTATGCTGACGCTACATGGGCCTGTAGCGCAGTGTAGTGTAGCGGCCCACCGCTGCCTACCGCTCACTCCAGAGTCTCTTGGAGTGCCCACCAAAGATGAGCAGATTAAGTTGATGATTTCAAAGGAACATATACATGGTCGTGCACTCCAAAGAATTCTGCTCCTGGAAGTCTTGGAGTGCATGCCCATCCACTCCCGTATTGTTAGGGGTGCCAAGCCTGAGCCTTCCAGATGATTTGGAGTCCACACTAGATCTTCCTCCACTCCAAACAATTTGGAGTGTTTTTTTTTTGAGACACCTGTCTTCCCCCTAAAGCCAAGACTCTTCCAAGGCCCCATCAGCATCATGTTTTTCTTGACTATGTATCTAGGATATCTTCACGAGTCACCAGAAAGAAATGCAAAAAAAAACTGGGTGACTCTTTCATTAGCCCAACTTTGATGTGAAGAGAAACTAGCTTGACTACATGGCGGCAGGATTTGACAAGAGCACGATTCCAGAGATCAACAAGTAAGTCCTCAAAGAAGAAGAAGGAGAGGGAGAAGACCAAGTGATCAGATAAAGAAGACTCTTTCTTGCATTACATTCTATCCTCAGCGCCCATGCCACCCAGGGTACATGAACCCTCCACATCCACAGGCAAAAAGTGTTATATTAATACTCCAGCTCAATCGAGCCGACCACACAGCTTTGAATTGCGGCCTGCAATTGAGCATGGCACAAAATCTGACTACCGTTGGCCCTTCACACATCACAAAGCGTGCTGTTCTCAACCTTGAACAGGCCTCCTTCACCAATCGGGCACAGGCTCAAAAGAGGGCTTCCTTCTTTTTCTTCTTTGTGTCTGTGCCAACTCGGTTTATAAACCTCAATTGCGAGGAGTGTGTCATCGTCTCCGTGGCGCAATTGGTTAGCGCGTTCGACTGTTACATGGCAGCCTGATGCTTGTGTGCGATCGAGAGGTTGACAGTTCAATCCTGTCCGGGGACGGCTTCTCTTTTTCCTCCTGCCCCCCCCCATGTGTCTCGACTTTTTCTGGCTCTCATCATCTCCGGCTCTCCATCTGATCATCCATCCCCCCAAGTACTGTTTTTGTTACCACATCTCTCGTCTCCATCTTAGTTTAGTTATTCCTCGCTTGTTGTTGTTGTTGTTATGTATGTACTCTCCCCTTCCTGCTCATTTTTTTTTTGTTCGCCGGTGATGAATAATGGCGATAGGAAAGAAACGGGGACGATGGTAATAATGACATATTAAGTGACGTGGTTATCAATAATGGCTCAGTTTGTATCATAAACCAAAACAGACGAAATTCGCTCTGTTCCTCTTCTCTCTTCCCTTACAAACAAAATACAACTGTATCAACAAATTTATATATATATATATATAATAAGATCATCATTACGTTATGTGTCATCATCATCACTATCATCTACATCTGATGTTCTCTTGATTATTATGTTTTGTTTGTTTTTTTTTTGAAAGAAGGAAAAACGATAGATCTGACGTAGTCTTGGATCAATTCTCGTAGTTGAAACGTGAGCATTTAGAAGATAAAGAGACGCATCACAGCGAGAGAAGGGGAGAGAGAATATTTATATATAGAGGAGAAGAGCCAATCGAAAAAGGAAGGATGAGCAGTGAGTATAAGCGAGGATTGTTACTGGTTAATAAAATAAGAAAGGTCGAAAAGCGAGGAGCCGAGAGACTCAAGCTTTCTCTTTCCAATCGATCTCGCTGCCGACGAAGCTATCCTTGAGAGAAGGATCATGAAGCTCATCGGCCTCATCAGCCGAGCCGGGGTTGGACCGGTCGGGCAGATCGGACGGACAACCATCGAGTCCGATCGTCTCGCCTTTATCGACCACACTGCCGGTCTCGTCGACTGACACCATCTCGTCATTCTCGACGAGTTCCTCTGCTTGCTCGACAGCAGTGATCTTCTCTTCATCTTCTACTGGTCTTGGTTGACCTTCTTCTTGTTCTTCTTCTTCTTGTTGTTGTTGTTGGGGGAGATGGTGGTCGGAGAAGAGGGATAATTTCCAATCGCTCTGAGCAGAAGGGATCCGTTTCTCGACGAACCGTTCGAGCGTTTGTGGGGACTCAGCAAGGTCGACTTCAGCGACCAAGCGACTGCGGATCCAGCGGTTAAGAGTCTCGACCAGGGCGAGCCAGCGGTCGACCCACGACTCGGGGAAGAGATTCTGGAGGAGGATGTACCGACAAGTCTCGCTGCCCACGACGCCTCTGGACCCATGAGCGCCCTCCAAGATCCGCTCGACCCTTCGTAGGAATTGCGAGATCGGACTGCCTCTCGGCCCCCCACTCGTCGGCAGAATCGCGCAAGTCCCGAGCCCCACCAGCCCGATCCGCCGCGCCATCGAGCGTGCATAGATCGGGTGTAAATGCGTCGGGAGACTCGCTCCCCGGCTCGTCGTGCAAACATTCGTTGGAATGCTGCCCCCGCGGAACGTCCCGATTCGCTCATTCACAATCCGGAGCTTCCCTCGACTCCCGGAATCAGAGATCGCTATCTCTCGGCGAAGCGTGACCATCAGGCTCTCTAATGCTTGATTCGCAATCAATGAACTCCCTAGATAAGGCAATGCTAGACTAGTATTCTTAGTAGGAACTAGATGAAGAGATGTTAGTAATTGAGAATCACGAACAGAAAGCGATGTTCAAATGAGTCAAGGGGCTCACATAGAGTCAAGATGAGGCCATCATCAGCGCCGAATTTTTCGATCGAGTTACGGAGGATAGGGAGGATGATTTTGAGGAGGTCGAGGGAGGTTGAGACGAGCGAATTGAAGCGTCCGAGGAGCTGGGAATGGAGGTCGAGAGCTTCGATAGGACGCAGATCGTCGGGGAGGGAGAGGGGCAGACAATTGATGAGTCCGACGAGCGAGTTATGGTTCGCAGTAGTAGTAGTAGTAGTAGCAGGAGGATTGATGAAGGTGTTTGGAGAGGCGGCGAGTGGGAATCGGAGACCCAAGGAGACGGTTAGTGATCGGGTGAATGGTTTGATGGAGGTGTGCGGTTCTTGTGGGTCCAAGACGAGGGCCTTGATCCATCCGGCGCCTTCCAGTTCGATCCTTGCTACCATCTCGGGACTGCTGACGCTGGCAATGACCGCCATGCCGCGTTGTGCGAGATGGAGTGCCAGTTGTTCTCCCAGGGTTCCTGGCTCGGCGCCCAGGATGATGATCAGTTCTAGTGGCCCTCCTTCTTGGCCATGATGATGATGATGGTTTCTGCTGAGTGGCTTCCTCTTCCTGGTGGGTGTGAGTATGCTTGGTAGATAGTTGAGTAGGGTGGGATGTTGGTGGATGAATTGTTGGTAGTAGGTTGTGCTGATGATGAGTCTGATGGCTAGGATGGATGAGAGGATGATGATGATGGTAGGTTTGAGTTGTGCTCGTTTGTTTTTAGTGAGTGGTTGTTGTTGTTGGATTGTTTGTTGGATTGGGTTCTGTTGGTTTGATGTGATTAGGAGTGAGTTTGGGATGAGTTGAGTTGGGAGTGAGTTGATGAGTTGGTTTGATGTTTTTATGATCTGAGGGAGGATGTGTTGGTTGAGTGATTGGATGAGTTGGTGTTCGAGTGAGTCTAGTAGTTCCCAGATCGATTGTTCTGAAGACATGATGATAGTGGTTGGTTGTTGGTTGAGTGTTGAGTTGGTTGAGTTTTATGACTCACTTCACAGCAAACTATCTGCTGGGGTTCACTGGGCTTAGGTAAGCCCAACCCAAATATAATAATTCACTGGGAGAATAAAATAAAATAAAGTACAACGTTATTGGTAGAGATCATCCCAATCGTGGCCTGGCTCCTCGCGAGGCGCAGAGGGACCAGAGCCAGCCATAGGAAGAGAGGAACTCTTTTGAAGCGACGCATCAGCAAGATCAGCCTCTCTGAGCAAGGCTTCCTCCTCCGCAAACTCATCCTCCTCCTCCTGCTCCTGCTCCTGTTCGATCACCGGACTCTGCTTGACAGGAGGCTTGGCTGCCGAGTCGATAGTATCGAGGAATCCACAGAGCTGGTCGTCTCCCGGGAAGAACTCATCCTCCTCTTCCGCCGGCCGGAACAGGGGCATCCCATCCGGCACTCGAGACACCATCTCCGGCTCCGTCCCCAGACTCCCCCCGCTGGCCCCAGCCGCATCCACTGGCCTCGTCTCTCCCGTCCCCCTCCCAGCTTCGTCCTCGAGTCCCGGCTCCACCTCCGTCGACCCATCCAGCTTGGCCTTCTTCTTCGCCGGCTTCGTCCCCCCCGTGCTCTCCTCCCGCCATCCACGCATCGCATTCTAATCAATCATTATAGGGGTACAACCCACATATCAGCCAACCCCATACATACAAGAAAAAGAGCACCACACTCAACTCTCATCTTGCGTTTGTGACACAGCTTGCCAATCGTCTCGATCGTGTCCTTGAAGCTTCCCTTGGGATACATGGAGTGGGTCCAGAGACGATAGAGCTTCAAGAGTCTCTTCAAATCCTCTTTCTTAAGGAACAACAGAGATAATAGTGCATACTCAGAACTGAGAATCTGAGAGTGAAGAACAGAGAGGATAATACCTCATTTCCTTTCCCAGATGGCTTGAAATTCTTGGAGAGTGAGATCAGATGAGGGATCCCCAGCTTGGGATCCAGGAGTCGATCCTCATCGAGCTTGACCGTCGGTCTGCGGGCGGTCTTCTTCTTGACGGCTTGTTCCCCAGAGACGAGCGCGAAGGGGTCGAGCGCCTCGACCTTCTTGGCCGCGAGTGAGGCCTCGATGGCTGCATGGTCGAGCTGGATGTCGTCCGCAAGAGCGTCAGAGATCAATAGGCTTCTTCTTTGGGGTCGTAGCAGAAGGACTGCCCACCATTTCTGGAAGCGCCTCATCCTGATCTTCTCCTTCCAGTCCTGCAAAGAATCTGTCGAGTGACTCCGGTAGGTTCGTTGCTGTCTCCTCGTCCATCGCGTCGTCCCCGAGGAAGCGTGGCTGTTGGCGACGGCTCGTCGAGACTGAGTCTTCTTGCTCATCCATTTCTGTTCGATTTTCGCTTGTTTTCCTCGAGAGTCCTTCTTCTTGATCCAGTGTTGTTCTTTCAGGGTTTTGGGGAAGTGCAAAGTGTCTGTGATCATTAAGCCTGTCACAGGCAATGTTCTCCAGCCTGTCACACCCTCGGCGCGTCGACCGTCGCGTCAACTTGTCCCTCACAGCAAGAAAACAACCAACCATCCAACCAACCAACCAAGTGCTTCAAACCCAACAAGACTACATACAGAGAGAATCATGACAGCCGCAGTAGCCGACTTCGATCACATCTATCGAGGCCTACAGCCCTCAATCGGAAGTCAGTAGTCCTCCTGTCTCTCTTTATTCTCTTGTTTTGCTCCCCGAGCCTCGGAGGAATGCTAATCTCAATCTTGGTCATATTGAGAAAATTGTTAGAACTGAGGATCGCTGCTAGTGGACTCGGTTGGAAGCCTTCTGATTCTCCTAACATCGTCACCGTAGCAAAGGACGACATCAAATGGGTCCAATGGATCAAGTAAATCCCTGCCCTACTCTCCCCTCTCTCCGAAAATATGGGGTTTCATTCTGAGCTGATCGGCTATTTCACTATGTGTTGTTGTTTTTTTTCAGAGTTGCACGCGGCTATCAACTCCGGATCGGGCTCAACAAGGATCGCAGCGATATCAAGATAGGCGATCGACGGAGAGAAAGCTTCGACGGCTTTCGGCCTGAAGTAACTATTTCCATTTCATCTATAGTATATCCTTTTCTATCACTTATCTTGTTTGTTTGTTTGTTTGTTTGTTTTAGGATCAAGAGAAATTGAGTAATTTGTTCAAGCAACATTTTCATGTGACACTGGAAACTAAAGATCTCAGCTTGCGAGGATGGAATTGGGGGAAAATGGATGTCCAAGGTAAGAACGTTTATCTCGAAAATGGAAAGCTTTTTTTCGTTGGGATTGTTACTGACAAGAGAAGGGATTCCCAACTTAATTTGACGATTGACTATGATGACTTGGGATGGATAGCATCGGATCTAGCGTTTCTTGTGGCGGGAAAGCTGGCATTCGAAGTGCCATTGGGACTAGTCCACAACTCATCGATCAGCAAGACCGAGGTAGCGGTCGAGTTTCTCGACCAAGCCAACCAACCCAAGCTGGATGGTCTATCGGGGATCTCGCGGGTGAATGCGAAGAAGAGCACGACGGATCAGCTGGTGGAGATGCGACTGTATGTGCCCGGGAATGCATCGACGAATGCCAACGAGGGGAACAGCGAAGCCGACGACCCGGCTGATGGCGAGCTTTCGGCCGCCCAAGCCCTGCACGATCTGATCATGGAGAAAGCCGAGATCGGTAGGGTCCAAGGCGAAGGCATCGTCACCTTCCCTGACGTGCTCTGTACTACCCCTCGTGGTCGCTACGATCTCGATATGCATGCAGACTTCCTTCGTCTACGTGGGAAAACTTACGACTATAAAGTGCTCTACTCTAGCATTCAAAAACTCTTCTTGCTTCCTAAACCCGATGATATTCACTTTCTCTTTGTCGTGAGTTCACAAAAACAAAAAAACAGACTTTGCTTCTATTTTCAACAATTTCTGTTGTATTCAATTTGTTTTTCATCATCCTCTTTCCAGGTTCAACTTGATCCTCCAATTCGACAAGGGCAAACTAGGTATCCGTTCCTAGTGATGCAATTCGCGAAGGACGAAGAGATAGATGCGGAGATGAACCTAGACGAGTAAGCTGCTGAATTCCCAATTGTCTTTTTCAGGTTAACCATTTTTCACTATTATTGATGGAGCTGATGATCTTGACTGAATCCTTTCTTTGTGGGAAAAAAAACGTGACGCGAGTAGAGATACATTGAATAGCACGTTTCAACAGACTGATAATAAGATCGAAGGCCAGGCTCATGAAGTCGTTTCGATCGTCTTTAAAGGACTGGCTAAGAAGAAAATCATCTTCCCACAAAACTTTTCAAGGTGGGTATTCCGCTGATCTAATCTTCGATCCGATGATCATTGAGGTTCATTTCTTTTTTTTTGAACACAGTGCAAATGGACAATCAGCAATCAAGTGTAACATGAAAGCGAACGAAGGATTACTGTACTTCCTAGACAAATATGTGCTGTGTATTTCGAAACAGTCGATATTGATCAACCTAGCCGATCTGCATTCGGTGAAGTTTGCGCGAGTCGGAGGGGCGCTCCAATCGGGGCGCACGTTTGACTTGGTGTTGACGAAGAAGGACGAGGTGGATCTGCAGTTCTCTAGTCTGAGTCGCGAGGAACACCCGGTCATCGAGTCGTACTTCGAAACTAAGGGGAAGAAGATCGAGAACGAGATGAATGAGGATATCCTCAGTAACGCTGTCGCCGCTTTGTCCGACGACGATGACCTTGATGATGACGATGACGATGATGATGATGATGACGAGGGTGGTGGACGAAGAGATAGGAAGAGTAAATCGAAACCCAAACCTTCAGCTGCCGCCAACGCCGATGACGATGACGATGAATCGGGCAAGTTTTTTTTTCTTTTCGCCCTTTCCTCCATTACCTTAGTACTAATATTCGATTTTCAATTCGACCTGCTTCTTTTTCTTTCGTTCTTCTGTTTTTTTTTTGGGATTGGATATTGTTTCAGATGATGAGAGTTTCCATGGTGGATCAGACGACTCGGATGTAGCCGAAGAGTTTGACTCGAACTACGGAGGTCCGTCGTTCCTTCCTTCCCTTCCCCCCCTCCGCTTGTTGGATCTTGCCCAAGACCCTAAGAGCAGAAAAAGAGTCGCTTTATATTGACCATCAACCGACTGTGATCTGTGATCTGATGGTGATCGATGCGTAGGCTCGGATTCAGACGATTCGGATTCGGATGACGAGAATGCCGACCCGGCGCCTCCTCAACCATCCAAAAAGAACAAGGCTTCTGCAAGCACGTATGTCGATCTCTCTCTCTCTCTCTCTCTCGGGATTCATTCATCCAATTGACTCTCCTTTTTTTTGGCTTGGTTGGTTGGTTGGTTGGTTGGGACAACAGATCCGAATTGCCTCCGTCTAAAAAACAGAAAAAGGCTTGATGATCCTTCGTATCTTCTTGACAAAACCCTCTATTTTTTCTTCTTTTTTAACTTGTATTCCTTCCCTCCCTCATAATCATCATCAAAAGAAAAAGGAAATATGTCTGTTTTCATATATATTTATGTTTCTTTGGTTGAAAGATAATGTCAAGCCTCAAGATGAACGGGTTTTCTTTGTGGTGGACACAAAAATACGCCGGACAGTTGAAATCGTCTACGGTACCTGTGTGGAATTGTGAGCATTAAAGAGGATGGTTTTTACAGTCCTGTTGGCCGTGTATTTAGGCCGATCACTCCAATTCCTCAGCCCATAAAACATTGTCCGATGGCTAAGAACAATCTGATTTGAGTCTGATTGTATGCCGTTTTACAAGCACCTCAAACTCGCGACAGTTTGTTCACTCAAGCTTATCAAGCCCAATCTAGCCACATTCCCCAACTTCTCAGCTCTGGCAAACTCTGCATCCGACAACTGTTCCCAATCAAGTAAGCATTTCAAAGCCGTCCACAATAGGTGGGTGGTTGCCGTGTGTTTTCAAGATATGGGTGAGGGGCGAAAGCAGGACGGCCCCATCGGAGATAGAGCACTGTTGTGACTATCGATAGTCAACGCGAGTTTTGACTACGTCCGGGAGAGAACGAAACTAGAGAATACAAGTGTATATATATATGTATATATATTTTAAGAAGTAGCAAGACGCAAAGCAACCGGGAGGTCAAAAGGATATATAATGCGGGATCTCTTTACATATATAAATATATATATATATGCGTGTGTGTGTGTTTGTAAAGACAATCAAGCCGGAAGTGGTTACAAAATACTTCCATTTGCAAAGGGGAGCGGAGGATGGAATCTAATTGGGATTGTTTCATGCCTGTTTTTTCGGTCTTCATGGGATATATAAGCCGTGGTTGATTGACTGGTTGTATCAAACCCATAGACACACACATATACACGTGTCGGAGAAGGGTGAGGTGGAAAAGGGGTCGGACTGGTGTGTTTCTCTTTTTGTGTTTGCGAGCATATCGGGCGGTGAGAAGAAGGCATGGGAGACGCGCATGATCACATCTGAGATAAGAGTAGACCCAAGATGTGTGAATATTCGGAGTGTTTTTTTTTCTTGGTGGTGAGGTGGGGGGCTTACAAAATCGTCAAATTCATCGTCCAGTGCTTGATCATAGACTTCCAGATCGGCATTGACACCGCGTCCGCCTTTGCTGGCTCCCGAAACCACCCCGCCGCCTAAGGTCGGCTTCAGTTTGCCTTTGCCCTTCTTGGCATCCTTGGCTGCTCGTTGTTTCTCATTCGCGATCGTCGTCAGAATCGAGGCCGTCTTCCGAGTCTGGACATCACTTAGAGGCTCGGAGAGTTGTCTGAAGAAATGTTCTACAAAACTGTGAAAAAAAAAAAAAGAATTAATGACGCTGCTCCTCTCCATTTTTTGTAGATCCTGGATCATGGTAACTCACAGTGGATATAGCGGCTTGTTGCCGTGCTTGGAAACAATCAGTTGGGCTAGCGCACTCGACATCGACTCGAAATCAGCCTTTGTCTTGGGATCCATCTTCATAGGATCTTCAGAGCTGTTCGCTGGTCAACCAAAGTCGAGAAAGAGGCAACCCCTCAGTAATCAATAGCAGGGGGGTGGAAGACGTTGGGAAATTGGTTGAGTCGTTGAGACGGGGGGAGGAGTTGTAATAAATAAATTCCTACTCACGATTCGAGACCACCGCATCACCAAACAAGCCACGAGCGTTTTCCATATCCGACTGAATAGTTCTAGTCTGTTCGAGTTTTTTCCTCAAGACGGGGTCGGCAGCCTGCTGGGCCAAAGCCTCCTGTTCGGCCAACCGTAAGGCTTCCTCGGCCTCCTTCTCGGCGATCTTCATCTTGGTGATCCCTTTGTTCCTCACCGGACCTTTAGGCTTCGCTGGTTCATTCTTTGACTTCTCATCTTCTGACTCCGACGCCTCCCAGTCATCTTTCACATCCTCATCCGCATCCTCGTCCGCCCATTTGTTCTTCTTGATCGCCGACACCCCCGCTGCTACTGAGATCCCTGCGTTCGCCGCCTCTTCGTGGTCACTTGCTTCTACAGGTTTTTCGGTCATCCCAAAAACATACCGATAAGAACCATTTTGTTAGCCCAAATCAAAGAAAAAGAAAAGCCTGTCAGATTGAGATGTTGATAAAGTCTCACCCCAATCGCTCATTTTGGTTTCCACACTCTTGTATCTTCTCGTCAGTGAACTGTGTCCGATAGTTGAGGTCTTGAAGGATAACGTGTGTCGACGTGGTGTATTCTAACTGAAAACCTTGTAGCGTGTATCCAATTTTCCAGCCCCGGAAGGCGTGAGCTGCGGCGGAGGCCAATGGGGGTCATCCGCAATTTGAAGCGTCCGCACCCAACACTACTTTCCAGGCTACAAGCCCCCCGCCCAGCTTGATTTGCTCACCCCAAGGACTTTTGCTACTCTGAGCGCAAAATTTCAAAAATGTTTTGAATCTGTTTGGAACTTATTTTGATCTCTACTGAATTCAGTTGGACATTACTGAACTTGACCATGATTCATATTGCAATTGATTTTAGTACAAAAAAACCCCTGCCAGGCCCAAAAAAGCCTGATCCTGCAACTGGGAGTGGGTGTTGATAAATGTCCACCATTTTGACAGCCAAGAGGAATCCTCCCGGCCATCAAGACTGTCCACTTTCAAAGTTCGGGGAGGATTCCTCTTCTTGGCCTTCAAGACTGTACACCCCAATGTTTTCATATGAATTATAACACTTTAATTTTGTGTAAATATAGGGGCTTGGTTAATTGGCTCCCAAAAATTGTAGTTTTTGGACTCCCAAACCCCTGAGACTTTTGGAGGACCATCTCAGGATGTTGTTTCCCCCTCATTGTTTCTTCCCCCAGTAGTTTGGGAGGTGATCCTCCAAACACTACAGGGGGTTTGGGAGTTGGACCCCCAATAAATTTGATAAAAACATGACAAACCCCCAGAGGGTGTGGGACTTGATCCTCCAAAACCTTTGGGAGGTATGACGATCAGCTTCCCTCTACAACCCTTGATGGCTGGGAGGAATCTTCCTGGCCACTGAGAATTGATACACTCTCAACAGCCATGGATTCCTCCTGGTTGCTGAGAGTTTACAGTGGCTAGACAGTGAAAAGTGGCTGCTTATTTTGGATCCCAGAGCTTCCAAACACAAACTTGAAGTCATGAGACTTGGTCAGGTGGTGCATAATATGTTCCAAGAAATGAATACAAAAAAATAAAATCAAAAAATAAAGTTTCAAAATTTGTGAAAAATAAAAAATAAAAATGGGTTTTTCCAAAAGGTTTGATATTCATTTTGGGGGAGTGGGAATGCTGGAGGAAAGAAAGAATGGAAAATGGGAAGAATGATTATAAATGAAAAAAAATTGGAACCAAAAAAGGTTTAGCGAGGTTGGTTGTCCAGATTGGAGCCAAAGCAGTAAATTCTAGCGCTTTACCAAGTACAATGTGGGCTGGTGAATGCCCCACTCAAGCGCTGTTTGAAGCCATCTGAAAACCAATTTTTCCAAAATTTTCATTTATAATCATTCTTCTTATTTCCCAATATTCCTTTCACTCAGTACTCCAACTCCCCCAAAATGCATATCAAAGCTTTTGAAAAAAATAATTTTTATTTTTCTTTCACAAATTTTGAAACCTTATTTTTTTATTTTCTTTTTTCATATTCATTTTTTGGGAACAATTGTGCACCACCTGAGCAAGTCTCATGATTTCAAGTTTGTGTTTGGAAGCTCTGGAATCCAAAATAAGCAGCCACATTTCAATGTCTACACACTGTACACTCTCAAGGCAGGAAGGAAACCTCTTGGCCATTGAGAGTGTACACTGTAAAAAAATGTCACCAAACTGGTGGCAGTTGACATGCAGGTTACTCCCAATTGAATCACTTCTGTCATACTGTAATCTATCCCAAGGTAAGAATTTCTGCACAGTAACTGTGCATAAAAGTATGGCTGAGCTAATGAGGAGCATGTGGATAACAACCCAATTTTCAAGAGAGTTTCTGCATTTCAACTGGCAGAAGTTCCTTGAGATTCTTTCAAAGTGAGTATACACTCTGAAATAGAGATGGGCGCATTGAATCCGGATATCCGCGCGGATGTGGATATCCGCTCACGATTTCAGCGGAAATACACATCCACATCCGTATCCGCATCCGCCGGCGGATACCCGTCAGCGTTGGCGGATACGGATACCCGCCCTCTGAATGGGCGGCGAGGCTCTTCCAGGAGTGTTTTTTTTTACAAAAAAGAAAAAAAAAAAGGGCATTAATAAAAAAACACGGTTTTTCCGCGTTTACACACGGTTTTGCTGCGGCACAGCACACGCGGTTTCCGCGTTTAAACACGGTTTTGTATTTAATTTTTTATGGGTTAATTTTCAAGTTGTTTTGAATTTTTAAAGTTGTTTCCTACACTTTAAAAGGTTTAGAATTTAATGGTAAAAACCATTTTCCATAAAAATGAATTTTGATTATTAATTATTTTTTTTCACTCATTTCTCAATTAATTGTTTGCATACATGTATGTACCTTATTTTTTATGATTTTTTGAAAGTTTAAATTTATTTCCTAGGTTTTAATGTGCGTAGAATTTAATGGTGCAATCCAATTTCTTTAAAACTCAACAGTTCACTTTTAATACTAAAATTACACACTTTTTTCACTTCATTTTTTACAGCTTAATTTTCATTATTTTTTGACATTTCAAATTTCTTTCCCACACTTTAAGACATGGTTAAAATGATGGTAACAATCATTTTGCGTAAAAACAAAAGATTGGTAATGAATACTGCGTTGGACAGGTTTTTTTTAATGTTTTTTTAAATAATTTTTACCAGCTCAATTTTAATCATTTTTTGAAATTTTATATCTATTTCCTACATCTAAAAGTGTGTAGAATTTAATGGTAGAATTCATTTTGCCTCAAAATAAAAACTTCAAACTTAATATAAGAGTGTACACCGTTTCTTGCATAATTTGTACTGTATACAAATTTTATTTGAATGCAAAATGGATACAGCCAAAAATTTTAAAACCTTTCAAAGTGTAGGAAAAGAACTTAAAATTTTACAAAATAAGGATCATTAAGCGTGTAAGAATTAATTAAGGAAAAGCGTTCAATGCAGTATTCAAGATATAGTTTTTATTTTTATGCAAAATCATTGTTACCATCATTTTTACCATGTCTCAAAGTGTGGGAAATGAATTTAAATTGTCAAAAAATAACAAAAATTAAGCTATTAAAAATAAATTGAATTTTGAGACCAATTACAGTATTCAGAATGAACTGTTGAGTTTTATGGAAATTGAATCTTACCATTAAATTCTAAACACTTTGAAATGTAGGAAACAACTTCAAAATTTCAAAAAAGCATAAAAAATAAGGTAAAAAATTAATGCAAACAATTGAGTGAAAAAGTGAAGAATTAAATAAAAAAAAACGGTGTCAAATGCAGCATTCAAGGTATATTTTTCAACTTGGGGAAAAATGGTTGTTACCATAATTTTCTACATGTCTTAAAGTGTAGGAAATAAATTTAAAATGTCAAAAAATGATGAAAATTAAGCTGTAAAAAATTAAGTGAAAAATGGGTGTAATTTGAGTATTAAAAGTGAACCACTGTTTTTTAAAAAAATTGGATTGCACCATTAAATTCTACGCACATTAAAACCTAGGAAATAAATGTAAAATTTCAAAAAAACATAAAAAATAAGTACATACATGTATGCAAACATTTAATTGAGAAATGAGTGAAAAA